GGGGGGTACTGGAGCCTACATACATTTTTTCTCAACATCTGAATCTGAATCTGAATACAGATTATACAATGTGTGGTGGTTATTTGGTAAATATCAAACAATATATTTGCTTTCATTTGGTTACTGTCTACTTTGGGATCCCTTCCAGAACTTTATGAGTCATTTCCAAACATCAAGAACTTTTTTCAGGTTCACTTTTAACTTACATCTATATTGTTTTTATCCTTATGTCATTCCATATGCAAATATTAAAAAAGGGATTGTCCCAAACCTCCCCATATTTAACAAAATGAAAATGTGTCATGATTTGCAAAACACTGTAATGTTTTGTGAAATGCCATTACATTTATAGATACAAATATGAAAATAGAGACAAAATTTTAACATTATTTTCATAAAAAGGCTCACATATGCTTTTTTTACTATATTCTATTCAGTATGATTGTCATCACAGGTAAGCACCTCACCACCATTGATACAAAGCCAGTGTGAAATTTCCTTTCTGACTTCACGAAGCAAAAAAAAAAAAAAAGGAGATTAATTTTAAGACTATTAAACGGGGACACGTGCACGCACACACACACTCACACAGCCAGACACTGCGTTGGAGAGGCGGTTGATGGTTGATACCGGGGTTCAGACAGCTCTCGTCTGTTTATCGGGCCAGACATCACTCCATCCCTCCCTCCTCCTCCGTATCCATCTCTCCTTTGCTCTTTTTGGAGCCTCTCCTCTTCCGCCCGGTTTCATCCCTGCTGATCCTCTCTCTGCCCTTACATGATCTCGTCTCTGTGGGAGCTTTTCTCTCAATTACATAGTCTCTTTCTCCTCTCGTCCTGTTTTTCTTTTTTACTCTTCCCCTTTTAAATCCAAGCATCTCTCTCTCTCCATCATTAACCTCTGAGTTGTGGATACATTTTCGTCTGGATCTGAACCGATAAGCTTCTTTTTTCCGCTGCCGGGACGGATTACGATGCCACGCTTAACGGGGGCCGCGATGTCAGATCCATTCCCCGTAAATCAAAATCTACGGAAACAGTGACTCGTTCCGCCCCCCTGTCGCGGCTGCTTTAGTGAGCTTTCACTCGGGGGATTGGCAAAAAAATGACAAGTTCAGGGGCAAGCTTTTTGGTACAACTTCCTGCAAGATTATAATCCAGCCATGTGATTTCACAAGCATCACATGGGCACAAAATCTTAAAGAATGTGAAATAATTTGGTATAGCCCGAACAGGGTTTTGAGCCAAGTTTTTGCCATTGAATGATGCAAAAAAGTCTCACAACTTCCTGCAAGATTATAATCCAGCCATGTGATTTCACAACCTTCACTTGGGCATAAAATCTTAAAGAATGTGAAATAATTTGGTATAGCCCGAACAGGGTTTAGAGCCAAGTTTTTACCATTGAATGATGCAAAAAGTCTCACAACTTCC